ACCTTTAGTGAAAAAAAGACCAATTCTTTTTTTAACTTTTTTGAGGCAGAGTCTTACTCTGTTACCCAGGCTGGAGTGCAGTGGCATGATCCTGGGTCACTGCAGCCTTGACCTCCTGGCCTCAAGTGATCTTCCCATCTCTGCCTTCTGAAGAGTTGGGACTACAGGACCACACCCAACTAATTGTTGTTTTTTTTTAAGAGACGAGGTCTCATCATGTTTCCCAGGTTGGTCTCGAGCTCCTGGGCTCAAATGATCCTCCCGCCTCAACCTCCCAAAGTGCTGGGATTACAAACGTGAGCCACTGTGCCTAGCCAGTAATTATTTACCTTTACAGCTCAACATCCGTGGCGTGTCTTGCCCATACGTAGAAGCTTAGTAAATGCTAGTTGAGCATATAAAAAGGGTTAAGAGAGGCTTGTGGCTTGAAACGGGGGAGGATGAGTGCAGATTTTGTGAGAATATATTGAGATTTTTAGATTTTTTTTCCCCTTTCTCGATTTCTAGAGGCAATGGCTTTCCATATTCATGATACTTTTTGGAGAAGGGAGTCCACAGTAGTTTTTTAAATTTTATTTTATTATAGAGATGTAGGATATACGTGAGGGTTAATTACACACGCAGGCCGCATGAAGGTGAAGTTTGGGCTTCCAACTGCCCTCACGCCCCCTGGTAGTGGACCAGGTACCCTTTGCATTGTCACATGGCCCTCCACCTTCCTCCCTCCCTTCTTCCTAGGCCTAGCAGGGCCCCGCGACTGTCTGTTCCTCCCTTGTGCTAATGAGTTCACAGTATATCCTGATGATTCCTAATTTGCCTGGCATTGCATTGTGTTCTTTAAGGATTTACAAGACCAAGACATGGTCTCCACCGTGAAAAAAAATGTATCATGGAAATGGGGAACTAAAACCATAACATGACAATGAAATAAAAAGCTGATGGCTGCTTCTGGCTGTGAGAAAGGAGAGAAGAGAGGGGAGGTGGTCGGCACGTGCTTGGTGGAGAAGTGGGAACTAGCTAGATGCTGTGGGGGAAGCCATTTTCTTTTCTAGATGGTGATAGTTCATTTTCTTTTTCCTTTTTTGTCATGGTCTTACTCTGTCCCCCAGGCTGGAATGTAGCGGCACAATGATCACAGCTTACCTCAGCCTCAGCCTCCCTGGGCTCAGGCAATTCTTCCACCTCAGCTTCCTGAGCAGCTGGGACTACAGGTGCACACCACCACACCCAGCTAATTGTTTTGATTTTCTGTAGAGATAAGGTCTTGCTATGCTGCCCAGGATGGTCTTGAACTCCTGGGCTCAAACTACCCTCCTGCCTCAGCTTGGCAAAGTGCTGGGGTTACAGGCATGAGTCACATGCCTGTCTTTGTTTCCTATTGAGTTTCTTATCTCTGAGTCTATTCATAATGAAAGTACCGTAGCGCCATTTCTGTTCACTTACCGAAACAACCTTCTTACTCATAGGTGATTTGCCTGTTTGTAAAGTCCTATTAAAGAGTAACACCTAAAGGAAGCAGTTGTGTTATCACTCAAAAAAAAAAAAAAAAAAAAAAAAAAAAAATATATATATATATATATAGCAGGTGAAAAATAACGAGAGTATGTAACTTTCATTTTCAATTTTAAGTTAGTTTCATAGGACTTAAAACCTTTATCCAGAAATTGTTGAATGTAGAATTAAAAAAAAAAAATTTACCATTTTCATACTGGTTGAAAAGCAGTCATTGGATTTTTTGGCAAACTTATGTTTCAAAAATGGTTAGACATATTTGATGTTGTAGGAATTAACATTGTTCTCCCTCATATTCAGTGATTCTCTCAGGTAGATGAGCTCATTGCTGAACAGGAAAGGAGAAAGGAATTTTGTACAGTTGGAAAGTAGGATGAGGTATCTCTTCGTTTGATCAGTCTGTGTCAACATTCCCTTCTACCAATATATTATTTTCCCTTGAGGGTTCAGCTTGCCACTGTTTGGCAGGAAGGAAGAGCGAATTCTCTTAATAGAATATGACTTAATACGCTGAATGACAATTTGTGCTGTGTCAGTCAACTTGGGGAAAGGATTAGAGGCAATGTAAATGATCTGCTGTATCTGGTTGTAAAAACATCTCAGGCATCTTTTAAAAGTCACGTTAGACCCTCGGTCTCCAGCTCCCCAAAGCTGTTTCTCATTGACAGGTTTCTCACAGTAGGAGCGAGTCAGGGAAGAAGCTGGGCCCAGATTCTCTTTTGCTGCTTCTGCTGTATCATGTCCTGCCCAGCAGTCAGGGCACAGGTCCCAGGGAAGGCCAAGGGCCAGGGCCCAGCCTCCTCCTGCAGTCAGGGAGTTGCTGGCATCTGACTCACTGTGGCGCTTCAGAACTGGTGACATTTTGCTATGTCTAGCCAAGGCCTGAAGGCAGCTCTCATGCAGGTCGATGTTCATGGTTTACTCTGGACTCCGTGCTGGGCTTATATGGGAGACCCTCTTCATTTTGAAGGGAGTCATTGCTCATGATGACTGAGGGGCACAGGGAGAGGCCTGGGAAAGCTGGAGTCCAGCCCCCTTGCTGCCCTGGGGGCTCATTTGCAGAAAAGAACTGATGGAGTTGAACTCTCCATGCACAGAGGGCAACAGCCTTCGTTCCAAAGTGCACTGTATCCCAGAAAGAAAATACATCAAAAGGCAATCATAGCAGTGGGCTATCAGTGGGTTCTGGGCCATTTGCTTGGAAATTGGCCCTTCTTTGGGGGCTGAATTTCTCCAGTTAGCTCAACGCTTTTGTGGTGAAGAGCTTGTGGGAGAAGTGGCTTCACTGAGAGAGCAATCATATTCTATGATTGCTTCACTGAGAGAGCAATCATATTCTAGACTTTACAAATTGGGAGACTCAGATCAGGAGGAAGACCTGTCCGCAGAGGTAGGGTTCATCAACCGACCCCGCCACCTCCACCCTTTGCCCTCCCCTGAAACGCTTATGAAAGAAAGAGCTTAGGAAACTACCCTACCAGTATCTTTTGCACATGGTACTCAAGGTGTCTGTCCCCTACTAACTGCTCCCGTAAGCAATTCCTTCTTCCAGCCATCACCACCACCTCCAACTCCTAAATCTCAGAATACAATTGTTCTAGAGCTTAATTTCTAAGATTCTCTCTTATAACCTTACTTGTAAGCTGGGTCCAAGAAAAAAAAAATGATGTTGTACAATCAGTTTTCAAGATTGGTATCTTGGGATCTAGCTTAATGAGATCCTGGAATTTCTCTTGTGCTTCGTTTATAAGAGAATTGAAATCCACCTAAGATGGTTTTCCAAGAGCAAGTTCCTTGCTGTTCCTGGCACTCAGGCTTACTCTGGTTCTAGGAGCTTGAACTGAGAAGACATGAAAGTTTAATCAGCTGGAAGCTGGGGGTAGCTGGGGGTTATCAACCTCCATGTGTGTGTCATTCGCTTCCATGGCAGTTTGTTGGCCACCGTTGTGACCTGTCACTTATAAAATCACGGCTACTTCATAAAATCAGTGCCATCTTCATAGAACATTGCTACTGGGTTTTTTGGGGTTTTTTTGAGTTGACATCTCACTCTGTCGCCCAGACTGGAGTTCAGTGGCACGCTCACAGCTACTGAAGCTTCAGCCTCCTGGGCTCAGATGATTCTTCCACCTCAGCCTTCCAAGAAGCTGGAACTATAGGCACATGCCAACATGCCTGGCTAATTTTTAAAAAAATTTATTGTAGAGATGAGGTCTCACCAAGTTGCTCAGGCTGATCTTGAATCCCCGGCTCAGGCAATCAGTCCTCTCACCTCCTCCTCCCAAAGAGCTGAGATTACAGGCATGAGCCACCACACCTGAAGCCCAGAGGAGTGAATATTTGATGAGGACCATGGAACCAAGCTCTGATGGGTGCTGTTCAGGTGCATTTTATGGTAGATGCGAGTACTGTGAAAGCAAGACCAGTTAAGGGAAACAGTTGCCCTTAAGAGTGCTCTTCCCTCTTCTGCATTTTCCACTCCTACTGTGAACAAATGGTACTAAACGTGTTTAATAAAATGCTCCTCTGTGGATGCGTACATCATCCAGTTCATTTAGGATGTGCCTTTTAGTCTTGATTTCAGTTCATCCTGTGCTATCACCACAGAGACCTGACTCTTGTTTAGCGTCCTGATGTTCAAAGAAATGGACATTTCTCTGTGTCTGAGATATTAATGTTGGGCTGTTAGAAATTGCCATCCAGTGCCAGAACTTTAGGAGGCCATGGGAGGATGGTTTGAGCCCTGGAGTTTGAGACCAGCCTAAGCAACATAGCGAAACTTCATCTCTACGAAAAATGAAAAAAAAAAAATTAGCTGAATGTGGTGGTGCATGCCTGTAGTCCCAGCTACTTGGGAGGCTGACATGGAAAGATCACTTAAGCCTAGGAGGTCGAGGCTGCTGTGAGCCATGATCGTTGTGATCATGCTACTACATTCCAGCGTGGGTGACAGAGTGAGACCCCGACTCAAAAAAAAAAAAAGGAAAAGAAATTGTCATCCAAGATATCAGCTCAGAAGACAAGGTCACCTTAGAGTTGTTTAATTTATTATGCATGACATGGCAACTGAGATTGGCTTAAGGAACCAACAAGTGACTAGAGAGTGAGAAGTTAGACCTCGCAAGTGTGGCATGCTGCTCCAAGCTGCTCTTGACGTCACCTGTTTATGTCTGGGCTCCTTATAGATGAGGAAGTCATTGTGGCTATCATCAAAGCTTTTATCTTCCATTCGGTCTGACTTTGATAATTGGTTTTCTTGTGAGAAAAACACTCCTCACTGCATATTATCTATGGTTTCTTTTAAGCATCCTTGGTTTCAAAAAAAGGCAAAACTAGAGACAGGACACCCAAATACTCTCAAGCTGAATTATAAATGTAATTTTGCATGTAATTTGATTAACTAACCAAGTAATGCCATGCAGTTACTAGCGGAGTGAGCTTTTCCTTCTCTGAGCATTTGTTTGAAATTTGATGGGTTTTCTCCCCAGGTGACAGTCCTCACCCTCCTAAGGAAGACACCCCAACCAGCAGTCTGGACTCACTTTCCTCCCCATCTCCCACAACTACAGCTGTCCACAGGCCTCCCGGACCAGACAGAAACCACCTTCTGACAGATGGAGGGGGCTTTGAGGACTGGGTATCCTCTACGTAAGTAACCATGTTTGTGTTTGGTACTGAGGGAAGGAGGCCATTGACCGTCTTCCTTGTGAAGTTTGACATGACCAGTGGGTGCTGAAGCCATCGACTCCGAGGAACCTTCTTCTCTAGTCAGTGGGGCCACCCAGGGGAGAATTTGAGAAAATCCAAGTGAAGCCTTCCTTGAGTAGCATTTCTGTGTTCCCAGCAAGGAAGGGGTGGCGGGTGCTACTTCGAATCTGACTGAAGTTCAGTTCGTGGCAGTTTTGGGTAAGTGTGTTACTGCTTCACCCAGGATGTTTCCCTCTTAATTATGCAAGCCTATAGAGATATGAGAATGTGCACACCGTGATGGATAGACTCTTGAAACTGTCTGTAGGGTGATATTTACTTGTATGAATTTTTGAGCACCTGATGCTAGCATTTTCCTCCATTTTACTCCATACTACCTCGAGTAGTCGAGATTTGATGGATGACATATCTGATTATCTTCTCAGTTTGGTGTAGTGCCCTGCATGTGCAGAACAGCTCAGGCCTATTAGGACTAATACTACTAATATAAACAAAGCACCTTGAACTTGTTTGATGACATGAGGGCTTGTCTAGCTGTGTAGCCTGAGGCTGTGTGTGAAGGCAGGACTTGTGGTGGTGTGGAACATGTAAAGGGCATCATATTTCAAACAAGTACTCAGAGAATAGCAGGTTCCGCTAATTATTATAAGGCATTGCTTGATTAGTCAATCAAATTACATCCAAAAATACATTTATAATTCATTCAGAGCATATTAAAAAATTTTTTCAAGCCCAAGTTTCTTAAAATAAATGATAGATAATGATGTCATCTGACCCTAGGGGGCATTCTTGGGACTTTAAATGGATTGGAAAGTGTTCTTCAGATTACTTGGCTTTTTATAGTTACTGCTGGATTCACATGAAATCGTTATGAACTTATTAAGTATAAAGAGAGATATGGGAGACATTTGGTGTGTGCTAAAATTTTGGGGTGACCTGAAGACTTTAATAAAACCTAACAAAACTCCAAGCATGGAAACACATTCTCCAGATGAGATCCCCCCAATGTTTTTATATATACTTATTTATCTGCTGAAGATTGTACATTGTGGATTTAAATTACATAGTACTCAAATATGCTCGTCACCTTTACTATTTCATTTCCACGACTAACACTCTATAAACAATAATAGTGTAGTTATCTAGGAACCCAAAATCTGTAATCCTGCTTACTCGAGGTGGAATTTAGCCTGTGTGTGTGTTCTAGTGAAAACCAGATCCCTAATTATTTCTTTCAGGAAGTGTGTATCACAGTCAGCGGAGAACAGTATAGTCAGTCCTCTTTCTTCCATAGTGGTTTTGCTGAGAAGTGACATTATGAGCCACAGTATAAAACCACTGCTCAATTCACAACACGTCCATGCCTGAAACAAGAAGAGCTTGATATTTTTGGTCATAAATCAAGCAAGGAGTGAATTCTCCAGCTTCCTATTCATACACATTTTAAAATGTCATGAAAAGCACTCCAACCTTGAGAGGCCAAAGAGAGAGGAGGAAGAAAAAGTAGGTGAAGCAAGTCTGGAAGGAGATTTTTGTTATAATGGATACTTTCTCCTACTCCAAGAACGTGATTTTTTTTTCCTGCATGCTAGATGAAATATACCTGTGTTTCTCTGAAGTATCTACTAGAGTTTCTTGTGTATCTTTTAAAGGATTCACTTATGGGTGTAAATTAGTTCAGATGTATCATTGTGTTAGAAAGCTTATATGAGTGCCTCTTGAACTTGAGCACACATCAGAATCACCTGGAAGGCTCATTAACATGTATACTACTGGCTCTAACCCGAGTTGAGGATTCAGTGGGTCTGAGAAGGGGCCTGAGTATTTGCATTTCTTTCTTTCTTTTTGAGTCGGAGTCTCACTCTTTTGCCCAGGCTGGAGTGCAGTGGCACGCTCACAGCCACCCCAGTGTCAACTTGCTGGGCCCCCGTGATTCTTCCGCCTCAGCCTTCCAAGTAGCCAGAACTATAGGTATGCACTACCATGCCCAGCTAATTTTTGATTTATTGTAGATACAAGAGCTCACCAAGTTGCCCAGGCAGGTCTCGAACCCACGGGCTCAGGTAGTCCACTTGTTGGACCCACAGGCTGAGCCAGCCATCAAGCCCGACCCAGCATTTGCATTTCTAATGAGCTCCTAGATGGAGGTTGGTGAGTCCTTAAGTAAAAGACCTCTCCTGCTGCCCCATGATGCTAGGCATGTGTTGACTGTAAAACTGCTTCTCTGAGAAGTATAATGAAGCTAAGTGATTTCTCGCCCTCTTGTTTTTTTCTTTTCTTTCTTTTTTTGTTTTTTTTTTTTTTTGAGTCAGAGTCTCGCTCTGTTGCCCAGGCTGGAGTTCAGTGGCACGATCACAGCCATTATAGCCTCGACCAGCTGGACTTTGATGATCCTTCTGCCTCAGCCTTCAAGTACTGACATATGCCACCATGCCTAGCTAATTTTTTGATTTATTGTAGGGATGAGATTTCATCAAGTTGTCCCGGCTGGTCTTGAGCTCTTGGACTCAGGCAATTCTCTCAGCCTCCCAAAGTGCTGGGATTACAGGCATGAGCCACTGCACCTGGCCCCTCTTGGTTTTTTTTCTAAGCATTCTTCTAGAGTGGTGTGTTTGCTGTTCTTCAGGTAGCCTTTGTGTGCTTCCTGTATACTTTGATTCTCTCTGCCTGAAACCTGAAATATTTCTCCTGCTTTTTTTACTCAAGACAGTCCTGGCCTATCCTCAGGGTCTAATTTAATCTTCATCTCCAGGAAGTCTTCCCTTTTACTCTGGTCTATAGGGAGCCTCTAACTAATACCCTTCTCTGCTGATACTCGTTACTTGACATTAACAAATCGGAGTTGCCTTTGAGTATTAGTTAATATTTGTCTTTTAATATTACTTGATATTTGTGTGGTATAAGTGTATGTATATATACCTATCTAATTTTTCCTTTACGCTAAGCTAACTCATAAAATTCTTAATGATAGGAATTGGATCATATACACTTTGAACTTTTTTTGTGATATTGGCATAGTTATTAGTAAATATTTAATTTCTTATTTTAATTTTGTATTTATAAAAATGTTTTCCTTTTGGAAATCCCTTTTTTTCCTGTATATCATGTATGTCTCTTAGGCTACTGTGTTTGGTTTCTGGCCCATCTTTCTTCTTCTTTATAAATGAATATTAGACATTGTTCCTCCAGGGACGCTATAGAATTGATCTCACCGTTTTCTTTTTTTTTTTTGAATTGGAGTCTCACTCTGTCACCCAAACTGGAGTGCAGTGGCTGCTCCCGGCCACTGCAGCCTCGCCCTGCTGGTCTCTGGCAATCCTTCCGCCTCAGCCTTCCAAGTAGCTGGAACTACAGGTGCGCGCTACCACGCCCGGTTAATTTTTGATTTATTGTAGAGATGAGGTCTCGCCAAGTTGCCCAGGCAGCTCTCAAACCTGCAGGCTCAGGCAATCCACTCACCTCAGTCTCCCAAAGCGTGGGATTACAGGCTGAGCCACTGAGCCCGGCTTCACCGTTTTCTTAAGTTTAGTTCTGTATGTGTGTGTGTGCATGTGTATTCATTCTTCTTTTCTTGTCTTTTCTTCCTTTCATCTCTGCATACCAATTGTTCCAGTATTGAATATACTAAGTACATGCTCATTAAGAGTCCTTTTAACCAAAGTCTCTATGGGGTCATTGAAACTCAACCCGGAGATTTCAAAAGGAGGCTTCATCTGTGCCACCATCTCTGGTCCTGATAATAGAGTCCAGATGTCCATGGATTATATAGGGCATCAATAGATCTGTTGGCCATCACTTTGACCCCTCCAGAAAGCCAATTTGCAGAGGAAAACCCACAGCAGCCATGGTTCTGGTATAGGCTTTGTGTCAACACGGCTGTGGCTTCTGCCAGGTAGAAAACAATGCAGCAGAATTGAATTTCTTGGGTTTCTGCTGATGTTCATGACTTGTGAGCATTATTCATGGCAGTCAATCAATCTGGAGCTATTACTTACCTGTACACTCAGTAAGGTGATGGGTGACTTCATTGCCAGTGAAGAATTGCTAGCTCAGTCTCCTTGGAGGGCATTACATCATAGGTCAAGGTATTTCAAATGTTCCAAAGTCATTTTTCCCCCCAGTAAAGTAGTTTTCTCTAAACGGGTTTTCTTCAATTATAATTGATGGAGCCAGGCCCTTGACAAGTAATCCTTTTAGATTTTTCTGCCACAAAAGAAAATCTCTTTTAAGAAATATCAGGCATTACGATCTGCTTCCTCTACAGATTTCAAATGAACAGGAACACCTCCTTTTCTTCCAGCACATTCTCAAATTCATGATGGTAGAATCTCGAAATAGCTCTTTCTAGCTGGGGTGTCCATACCCTGGGGTGCATCACACTCTGTGCCCTATCAGGCAAGGAGGGTGGTAGACTCCTCTCTCCCAAAGACCTGGCTTTGTTTCTGCAGAATGTTAAGATATTCCGAAAGCATCAGTCCCAGCTACTGCCTCGAGCCACTGTAGTACTGCCTAGATTCATGCCTGCTCAGTCTAGATGTGGGTTATTTAAAATCACTAGATAATCCCCTCCTACTCCTATATATAGCTCTGTGCGTGTCCTGCATATACTCTGTGTGCATTCACTGGTAACCACTTTTCTTCTTGTCAATGAAATAACTTGCTTCCTTTACACTGGGCAAACAAACAGGGGTTTTCTAGTGACATCTACTTGGCATTTCAAATTACTTGACTGTTGGTTCCATGATTGCCTTTTCAGAAAGTCTGTAAATTTTCCTGGGAGATCTCAAAGTACCCCTTAAATATGATTTGTGGCTCTGTATTCCACAGTAAACCGTGAGTGATTTGCCTAAAGTTCAGAAAAATAATCATTTTAGACTATTTTTAATAGATTTCTGTGAAATTTGGCACATGCCTAGAAATTATAGGGTTGCAGTCACGGG